CGGTTGGTATGCCCTTGAAAAGGACGGCGTTATTTTGGCCTTGAGGAAACATCATTTGCCTCATACTGATATGGGACCAAACTTGAGTCTGCTTGCAGTGAAGGAAAATGCAGCATTTATTGCAGAATGCCCAGCAAGGAATCCAGGTAGCTAGTGCTCAGAAGGCCCAAACTCCCTGACGGCTTTCAGGGAAAAGTTGTTAAAGTCAGGGTGAGAGAGCAGGGTTGTGGGATGTGTGATCATCTCGTGGACATTCTTCTGACTAGTTGGTGGTGAGGTCATTAGGAGTCAACATCATCAACCTACTGGTTCCAACTGTTCTGGGCTCTACATGCTTGTGGGCAGCATACAGTTAACTTCTCCCACCTGGTGGGGTTTCAGTATGCAATACAGCTCACAGGATCTGGCTCAGGACATTATCTCTAGCCCTTGCTGAAGAACCAAAGGTCCTTGGCTTTGTTTAATGGTTAAACAATTACTATTTTGTCTTGTTTGACTGTTTTCCTTTCTTTCTGCATTTTCTTCTCCAATTAAATGTACTCTTTGGAACTCGGGGAAGCCTAGGAGACTAAAGTTTTCCTATAGACAAGCGGCAGGTGGAGGACTTGCAGGAGATGGGTATCTGATCCTGGAAGACCCCATAGGGTCTTGCTCACTAACAATACTAGTTAGTGTTCTTCTCTGTGCCTGCTTCATAGATATATTCTTCAACAACCTTATAAGATATCCACCCTCTTGGTATGGAGACTCCAAATACCTCATGACTAATAATTATAGAATCAAGAGGGTGACTAAAAATTCATGGGTGCCTCTCTCCTCATGGCATCCTTCTTAATCTCTTATGTCAGTATATGAAGCTTTTAAAAGAAAGGAAGTGATATCAGACTGTTGCTCTGCTGTGACCTTTTAGTGGTTCGAGGTGGTTTTTAGGTATGGCCTCTCCTGAACTCTGATAACCCATGCAGGCATTCCGCTTTGAAAGGTAAACTTCCATTAATACCAGGGGAAGAGAACTGGCTTTTGTGTCATTCTCACCTGCTCCTAGCTCTCCTTCAAGCTGGTCATGGTTGAGTTCACTGGTGGTATGTAGACATTGGTGCTATTGGCAGATATGTTTCTTGGAGAGCTTTTGGGAAACATGCCTCAATGGCTCTAGGTCGTGTGAAAGAGAGAAATGACCTCTAACGTCCCCCTTCTGTTTCACCTTCAGTAGACCCAGAGAGTTTGGACCAGTGTAGCTGGGCTGCCTCTTATGGAGGAGTAGTCTGACCTGACCATTTTCTTGGAAGGGTACAGCCATATATTTGGAGACAGTGTCCCCATATCTGAAGCTAGAAATGTGGTTGGTTCTAGACCTGAAATTCCTTCAGCTCCACACTGTTGTGTTCATCCTTTGTGGACTATCTTTATTAGAGGCCCCGTGCCTAGTAGTGAATGGAAGCCTAAGTCAGTCTCACGTAACGTCTCAGTGATGGAGCCAAGTTTCATTAGTGTTTCCTTTGCAAGAGCTGATAGTGTGGATGGGCAATAGAGCCATCATTTTGTTTTTATTTTAATTTTTTAAATCCATTCATTTGAGCTCCCTTCAGCCCTCACAAAGCCTGAATTCCATTCTCTTTGTCCTAATAGGAAGAGACATTCTCTTCTTGTGTTTTAGGGAGAAAAGCCAACAGTTGGACTTTGAGAATCAAACCATAAAAGTTTGCTAACAGCAGGTAAGTAAAGAGGCAAAGTGTGTTTTACTGTGTTTCTAACATGTATGATTATGTTGATCCAAACTCACGATCGTATATATTCTAGACAGCCAATATGTTCTTTGTGTTGTATGTATAAAATTTCCAAAAAAAAAATTCCCCCCAAACTAATGATGTCTTTCTTTCTAAATCAATCTTTTGAGGGTGTACTTTTAAGCTTTATATATATATATATATATACATACATACACATACACACACAATTTTATATACATAAAATGAAGGCTTGTAATATTGGCAAACAGGGTTTATTATTGATAATATTAATGTCAATTCGTTCCCCTCAATACTTTTGTAAACATCTGGTCTGATCCAAACCACCTTGTTTACATAAATCAAATTTTAAGACAGATTTACTTGTTGTTTGAAACTAAATCTAGAAATATGTGTATATATATTAAAATACATGATATAAATAAAAAGGTTATCAGTTGTAAACATGTTCTAAGATAGTGCTTTTCTTCTTGATCATCACATGATTATTTTCCAGATCCTTGGCATGCATGATTCCTTAATTTACTAATAAGAAAATATTGTAAGCCTTTTACCTAAGAGATGATGTTTAACACATACAGACACAGACAAATGCCATAAAGTCAAAGGAAGTAATTGAATAATGTTTAATGGCATGAGAAAAGACTGTTCTAATGTTAAAGATGAAACCATGAGACAAAACTCTGACTAACTTCTAATTGGAATTTAGTCATATGCAAGTCTATGTATCATCTCATTTATGACATGCAGTAATAGCAGCTGTCTGGGACTTTCTCTTATGGCTCATGCCAAACTTACCTAAAATTTGACATAAAAGGTGACAAAATGGAGAAATATTCCCAGGTTGTCTGCCAGGTGATCCAGGTCAAAGACCACTTGAATTTGTGATTTGTTGGGTTGAGAGAATGTCCAGGCTTCAAGCAATTTCTTCCTTTTCCATCTGGATTTACCTAATTTATCCCTTCAAGGAGACAATTTGATGTGACAGGAAAGTACTGGCCATATAAAGCTGAGTGAAGTAAATTGGAAGTGCATAGAGAAGGCCGTGTGGAAATGTAATTTCTGAAAGAACAAACTGCCTGATGAGGGTGGGTGGTTTTAAGCCTCAGTTTGATTTCAGATGGAAAACAAAAGCAAAAGTGTAGCAGTGTGAGCAGATTTCCTCATACTGGACAACATGCAAGCAGTCTGGTTCTTTTGTCTCTTGG